ATAAAATTTTTTTTAGTTGAGCCCCCTGAGAGTGTGAAGGCTAGCGACGCCCCTGATTATAAGAAACAGGCATTTTAATATGAGAGATGATAGACCTACCAAATGGCGTATTATCAAGAAATAAAAGCTATATTTATTCTTATTTATACGCATTTTCCGAATCGATAAAAAGTTACTAAGTTAAATAAAAGAAGTTAATAGCCCAATATTTTTATCGGATGCACAAAAAGGTACATTGACTTTATTTATTGTTAATAGTAAATTATATAGAAAGGATAAATCAAAAATAAAAGGTTAAAAATTTATATGATGTTCACAATAGTTCTTACCTAAGGTTAGACCTGTGCGTCGATGTCTCAATCGACGGCGGCCTTATTTTTTTTATTTTTTCATCGGCGTTCAGCGGGACGCCGATTTCGCCGCCGCCTACTAAATTTTCGATGGCGGCGGCGCGTTATTTATTTAAAAAATTTTTTTTTATAATTTATTTGTGCGCTCTTTTCTAACACATTGTTAACAAAGTTTGTCTTGTAGTTTTGTTATATACATATTATGATATATATGAAATGTCAATCAAAAGTGATCTTTTGAAGTAGTTTTGTTTTCGTGGAAGAAAAAACAGGTCTTTTGTTGGGGAGTTTATATTTAAAATATGTTTATATTATCTATATCATAATATTCCGATGTCTTCACTACGTCATGTCATAGCTACGTCATGTCATCGGTACGTATTTTATTTTATTTGTTGATTTTATTTATTTATTTTATACAAACAGATGAATGGAATTTAGAGAATTGATGGTGTACCCATACCTAACATGGATTGAGAGATTTGAAAAATCGTCTTTGAATATATATAAACAATATTCCCTCAACTTTCTAAATATGAATGAAATAAATGATGTGAATAAAAAGATTCAGGCTAATATTTCACTTAATCCTTTCTTTATTTTTTACTTATCAATTTTCATCTCATATTATCAATTACACATTAATGAAATCTCTACAAGATACTCAACTTGTATATTTATTTTGAACATACTCACAATTTTTGTCAGTACTTACATTACAATTTTTTATACTCATATTTTTCTTTCATAACCAATAATTAAGAGATAATCAAGTATATTCAAATATTTAAATATTCTTATCCTAACTTATTTATATTCTCTAATCCTTATAAATAACTCTTTCTTTATTTTTTTCCCCTCCCTTAATGAATTTATTTATCACTTTAATTTATTATCTCATTCTTTTCTTTCTATCTCTATTATCTATTAGCCACTATTTCTCAAAACCTTATCAATTCCTTTGATTTAATTTTTATTATTTTTATATTATAAAAATTTATACCTTCTTTTCCCCCCTTTTTTAATCTTATTTTTTAATTACCTTACAATTAATTAACCTTAATCTTAATAACATTACATTCATCATGTTATTTTTTAACTTTTAGAATATCATAATAGGCTTGATAAGTCCCCCAAATAATTTTTTTGTTGATAGCCCTCTAACTACTAGAAATATGCATCTAATATTGACCCATCTACCGGTTTTACATTATTTTAATGTTTGTTTAATTTCAACAATAGTTTATTTATATTTTTGCCTGATTTCTTTATTTGTCTAGGCTAACCCTAATCCCTCACATTGCTACAGAACATGATGAATCGATTATTAAAGATAAGCAAAGAAAATAATGACGATTAAACAAACGCCTTACCCGTTCTAGAGTTACTGGTACACAAAATAATAAAGATCTACGCTTGAAATGAACTCATCTGGAGATTCATTTTTTTTTTTTTATCTTATGTTTTATATCTATGTTTATTTTATTTTCACCCAGTTCTCCAAATGATACACCACTACCACAATCTCTATGCCACCTCCGCCTATTTTTTAACAAATATAAACATTTAATTCTGTACTATCATTCACTTCACTAGGAGTTATTATAAATATTACTTTATCCGATTCTCTGAGAAACTTTCATGAATATTTATAGGAATGTTCAAACTTGAATGTACAGTACAGCCAATTTCATCAAACTTTATTAATGGAAAAATATGCAGTAGTTCTGTCGTGGCCTTTATAACAATACTTACGACCGTTTTATGGTTGAGTTAACATTGTCGTTCGATTCTATTTTAGAAGGAGATACCAATGCTGACATTGACAGAAATATCGTTTTGCGTGTTCAAACTTGAATGTACAGTACAGCCAATTTCATCTTATTAATGAAAAAATATGCAGTAGTTCTGTCGTGGCCTTTATTTACGACCGTTTTATCGTTGAGTTAACATTGTCGTTCATGATTCTATTTTAGAGGGGTATACCAATGCTGACATTGACAGAAATATCTTTTTGCGTTCTTCTTTTACCAGTATCCCAAGGCAAAGGCATATCATTTTTATCAGGACGCGATGTGTTTTGTACACTGCTTTGTTAATCCGTCATTACTTTCATCTACAACCCTAAATGATATAAAATTATACATTAATTATTTCCTCTCCATACGACCGCCAATATTTATTTTGTCACTTTTTCCATCAAAAATTAAAATGTCAACAAGGATTTGCTCTTAATTTTATCAAACACATAATAAATAATCCTCATTATTTTTTAAAAAAATTATCCTAAATTTACATGTCAATAAAAAAAATATCTTAAAAAATATATAAATAATTTGCATATAAGTTTAATTAGTGTTTAATGACATTTTTGTAATTTAAATAGACAGCATTTTTTTTTACTTAACATAAAAAAATATATATCCCTTACCAAATTCTTTGACATAATTTCAGAAATGCAAGACATACATTAAATTTATCTAAAAAATAACAATAACCTTATATAATAAACAATTAATTGATCATATTACAAAAAAGTATAAGAGTCGGTTATTTTTATTTTATTTGTCATGATTATCTAATAACCCAGGCCTTCCCAGTTTCCCTTAATACGGAATTCACATGTTTTTTTCCATATTAGACTAATTGATAAATCAGTTATTTCCCGTTATATTAAAAATTTAACTATCTCCGAGGCGGGAAAAAATTTTCAAAATTATAATGGGTAGGACTGGGCTTGGAACCTCAAAATTAATGCACCTGACTTGGGAATATCTTTTACAAATTATTAAGGGTTGAGTTGGACTTGATAAACTTTTTTATAATTATAAGATCTTGGATGCTTCCTAATATTGTGAGCTTGAACCTGGCATGACATCTATCGTAAAATATGAATAAAAATTTAATTCCCCGTCATTTTTGACGGGCTTTCTACTAGTGATTATGATTGTACGATTAATATAATTAATGGGAATAATGTTAATTTTTTATGATACATATATTTGTTTGTATATTTTAGAGTATGTGTTAGAAATAAATGTTTAAAATTGTTGCCGATGACTTTAGGATTCATCTAGGAATTGATGAGAATAAAATGCAATGTAGAGGATAAGAATGGGATTCGTGAGTGATACAATGAAATGAATAAAAAGAATTAGAAAATGTTAAATAAAAAATTCATTTTTCACGCAAAAGATTACATTTTTTTAAACAAAGGAAATTTTTAATTTATAAAATTAAGTAGGAATTTTTATAAGGGATAAAATATAATTAGATATTGAGAAAAATAGATGACAAGATTAAATATTGCTAAATGTATAAATTTAAAATGATTCTGTAAATATATGTTTATATATGATTATGATTGTAAGATTAATATAATTAATGGGAATAAAGTTAATTTTTTACGATACATATATTTGTTTGTATATTTTAGAGAATGTGTTAGAAATAGATGTTTAAAAGTTTGATAATTCTGAAATTATTTCTTGTCTCCAATTTAAATTATTTTCTTATTCTCAGAAAAAGACTATGGAGTTGCATTTTTACTAAGATCAGAGTTCGATAAACAACACATATTAGTAATATTCTATTGATTTTTATTATAACAAATTAAAATATAAATTTGGAATGCAGCAAAATATAAAGTATGAAATATAATAAATCAGAATTCAGACTCAGCAAAATTATAATTGTCATGAATATATAGTATTTTATTAAGATTCGTGGGACATAAAGAAGTCCTTTTTGCATTGAGTATTAATCCATCAATGGAAAAAATTCTTTCGCTGGGCGTACTGCTTGCAGGTATACAAAGAACCTCCCTAGCTAAATTAGCAAGCCTAGGAAGTTCCTGTCGTTTTTCTTCCAAAAGGTTAATGTGCATCCTCTTCCGGGATATTATGTTGGCTGAGCAAAATATGACATTCTTGTTCTAGATTACTAATGTTGTTATAATCGTTTCTTGGATGGGAATGTTTACGAGCTATTTTATCTATATAAGAACTATGCTTGCCCATTATCTTCAACTTGAATCTCATTCTGTGCATTTCTATCATGCTCTAAAAGTTTTAGATATATTTTTAAAAACACAATGTTATCGTAAAATTCGAATTTATATATTTTGAAATCTAGGATCAAATAGAGTCGCTAAGATCTAATGTTTAAAATATAATTTTATTATTAAAAATATAAAATAACTTGAAATTCAGTAATAAGAAACCCATTCAAGCATTTTTTCATATTTTCTTTTAAGCAAGCAATCAGATATTTTGCTTTGTAGGGTTTCTATTTCACTGCGAAATAATAACCCTAGTTTATTGTCGATCCCTTTTGGGAGGAAATAAATTCCACCGACACTCGGAGATTCAATATCACGTAAAGCTCATCAATCATATCCCATTCATTATTAAAGAGTTTTAAAGATTGATTTCCTATTTTATTCAGAACATTATTTATAGGAATTTTGTTTACACTTGCGAGCACTTTCTAGCATAATTAATATTAGGGAAATTTAATTTTAAAGTTATTAACCTTTTTCTTCTATCTGTAACCCCCCGGAGGAAGGTGCATCAAAATGATATAGGAGTATAACTTATGGGGGTGTATCACTCAGTTATTTTCTAAGGGTATGTTTGTATATACTTATACTTGATGGCATCTATGAATGGCTGATTGGTTGGTGCAGTGCCATTTCTATTATCCGATTCATCAGACATATCAAAATGGCAGAGTTATTAAAGTAGCGCGCTACTTAGCGCTCTATCTTTTTTGGTAGCTATAGCTAATAGCCGCTACTTTTTTTAAAATTATTTAATTTTTTAGCACGCTACTTTTTTTAAAAAAAATATAATGAATGTAAGTATAAACATGAAAATTTAAATATAATATCATAATTAATTATAATTTTTATAATTTATTATTTAATTTTGAAATTTAAATATATTTTCAATTTTTAATTTATATTTTCAATCTGTGTTAATAATCTAAAATGGCATCGCCCATGGATATCCAAATCCTTGAAAGTGATTCAGACATGAAAGATTCAATGGAAGAAAATGTACTTAATAGCTCAAATAACGATTTCCCATTCCCTAGATTTGAAAATTTTTCTTAAAATAAATATTAAAACAAAATCTGGATTCAAATTCCTGTGCTTAAAATGTAAAAAAAATATATCATCAAATCAATCGAGTAGCTATAACCTGAAGAAACACCTAGAGGTAAATTGTTATTTTTACATTATAATATTATTTATTTTATTAGACTGTTCACGCCAATTGCTATAAGGAAATAGAGAAACATATAAAAAATTTTGGTATAGGAGAATCTTCATTCAAAAAGACAAATACTATCCAAACCAAATTAACTGATAAAAACATGTCAATATTTCACAAAAATTGGCTGATAAAGTAATTGTTGATTTTATTATTGACACAGTTCAGCCATTGTCCTTGGTTGATAATCCATCATTTACTATGATGATTAAAACTTTATCCCCTGGCACAACAGTTTTTTGTCGCCAGACACTTATGAATAAAATAGCCGACAACTTCAAAGTGATGAAAGATTCTCTAATAGTAGAGTTATCAGATATATCTTATGTATGTACCACGGCAGATAGTTGGACACATAACTGAAGGTAAAAACTTATTTATATTTATAAATTGATCTGATTAAATATTTTTAGAGTTTATTTGGGAATCACAGGCCATTGGTTAGACCCTAGGACTTTAAAAAGAAGATCTGTAGCCTTAGCCCTTAAAAGGATTATAGGATGCCAGACATATGACGTACTTGCAAATAAAATTATTGACATCCACAAGTCTTTTAGGATTCATAACAAAGTTTGCAAGATGGTTAATGATAATGGGTCTAACTACCTGAAGGCATTTAGGTTATATCACAAATTTATTTATAATATTTATTTTAAGTTATAATTTTTTGGGCAGTAAATTAATCAGAATGGAATAGTTATTATTTAATCTATAAAATATTTAGTATTTTAATATTTCACATTATTTATAGAATTTTTATTAACTAAATACACACATATTTTAGTAATATTATGATTATCATAATTTATATCAAATTATAAATAAAATTAGTGAAATTAACTAATAAAATATAAAACAGAGGTGGATTATTTCATTAATTTTTATTGTACAGTGTCATTGAGCTAATCTAACATTTAACAAGATATGGTTATTGAATATTTCATGGATGATTAGATTTTTACTATATTTATTTCTTTTTGATTAATTGCCATCAATTTATATACAGTACAGGGAATTTGAAGTGTTTTATTAAATAAGTAAAATAGGTAAAGTAAGTAAAAGTATATTTAAAACAAAATATCATGTATATATATCATGAATTCAATCCTTCAGGTTATATAATTTACAAACGAAAAGTTAATATTATATTCAATTTAAATTCAATTTATATTACAGTTCTCCCCACTATAAATTGAATTCATCGTGATAACGTAATTGGGGGTTTCGAAACTCTTTTTTCAAGAGTTGTATTCTCATGTTCTGCCTTTTCCACTTCTTCGGTCAACGTAACGGGTATTTCCTTCTCTTGTGTATGTGCATCCCTCAATTGATCTGCATGCTTGTTTTTAACGATCCCCTCTGATTCCACATCGTACAATATTGCGCTTTTTCGTTGTAACACTTTTCCTTCATGCCACCCTGCTGTCCTTTCGTTTGCTATCCAAACTTTTTGCTGCTCTATAAACTCCCGAGGTTCAACACTTCTATCTTTGTAGTACTTTTGTTTCCATAGAGCGTTTTCCGTTCTTTCTCTCGTTGATAATTTCCACTGATCTAATGTCGTCCTAAGCGACCTTCCAAACATCATCTCGGCAGGAGATTTACCAGTAGTTGCATTGGGAGTATTACGGTGAGTAATTAAAACATTTACTAAATTTAACTGGTCCGGAGTCCCACATCTCCTTCCAGCATAGAAACGCGTCTTTATCGTCCGTATATATCGTTCAGCCAAACCATTCGATTTGGGGCTATAAGGGGCCGATCTAAAATGTTTTATATTGTTTTTTAAAAAAAACGTTTTGAATTCAGATCCAGTAAAATGAGTACCGTTATCTGAGACAATGTAGCGAGGTAACCCAAATCTAGCGAAATAATTACGCAGATTATTTATTACACTCGCCGAATTAATATGTGTTAAAATTGCAACTTCAACCCATTTGGTAAAAGCGTCTACGCAAATTAACCAATATTTTCCAGATACGGGGCCTGTCAAATCAATGTGTAATCGTTCCCAAGGTCGGGTAGGAATGTTCCAATTGTATAATGGCACTTCTTTAGCTCCCGGCCTTCCTTCTTGACAACTCTTACAACATTTAACAAAGTCTTCAACATCCGTATCGAGATTTGTCCAAAACACGTAATATTTACACAAAGATTTCATCCCCACTATCCCAGGATGTCCTCGATGAATCACATATAAAACCTCCTTTTTTAAAATATCTGGAATAATAATTCTATCATTATAAAATAATAATCCTTCTTCGAACGAAATATTATCTTTAATTGAAATATATTTTTTTACAATCTCCGAATAATTATTTATATTATCAATATACCAATGATTTTTTATTAATTTAATAATCTCTTTTAGGTTTATATCATTGCTCGTTTCACTTACGACTTTACTGCGTGTGAAAGATAAATCCTCTATTAAATTAATTTTTAATCCTCTGATTTCTTCTTCGAATTTTTTTGTAACTTCATTGGTTTTTGCTTTCTCTACCCCCAAACGGGACAGAGCATCGGCACATTTATTTTGATTACCTGGTCTATATATTATCTCATAATCATAATTTAATAGTTTCGTCGCCCATCGTATTAAACGGTTATTTGTTATTTTGTTAAGATCTCTTTTATCACCTAAAATATATTGTAATGGTTTATGATCAGTAACCAAGATAAAATGTCTTCCAAAAATATATTGATGAAACTTCTCGATAGCGAACATGATCGCCGAAGCCTCCCGATCAATTGTGGCATAATTCTTTTCAGCCGCCGAAAGTGTCCTTGTTGCGTAAGCAATCGGTTTCTCCTGGCCAGTAAGAAATCGGTGTGCAATAACAGCTCCTAGACCATCTTCGGAAGCGTCACAAGAAATCACGACAGGGATATCGGCTGAATAAGGAATTATTGTATCTTCTTTTGACAATATATTTTTAACTTTAGTAAATATTTCATTTTCTTTAGCTGACCAAAACCAACCAACATTTTTACTCGTTAGTCGGTGTAAAGGCGCACAAATAGAATGCAAATTTTTAATAAATGCCTCATGATAATTCACTATTCTAAGAAATGAACGTAGTTCTTTAACATTGGAAGGTGTTTTAAAATTTTTTATAGCGCTAATCTTATCTTCTGTAGGGTGAATTCCGAAACTGTCAATAACATGACCTAAATAAGTGACTGACTTTTCTCCGATTTTAATTTTATCGGTCGTCGTGGTCAGTCCAGCCTTCTCAAATCTTCTTAATACTTCTTCCAAATTAACTATATGATCGGAATTATTCTCACCTGCAATAATTATGTCGTCTAAAAATACACTAACCATAGGAATTCCCTTTAATAGGTTTTTTTCATAAAGCGTTGGAATATTATCGGAGCGCTAGTCAAACCAAATGGAATTCTTTGGTATCGGTAATAACCGACATGTGTCGAAATTACTAAAAGGTCCCTACATTCTGGACTAACTCCGAATTGCAAAAATGCATCTCTTAAATCTGTTGTTGAAAATATTTTACCACCCGCGATTTTATTTGTTAGGTCGACGAAAGTTGGTAGTAAATCGTTATCGATCGCTAGATATTTGTTGATTGTTAAACGAAAATCTCCGCATATCCGTACGGCACCGGATTTCTTTAAGATATTAACCGTTGGCGTAGCCCAAGTGATTGGAGTTATTGTTGGATCCACCTTCTCGATAACGCCTTCGTCTAAAAGTCTGTCCAACTCAGCTTCAATGGTTCGACGCAACGGAAAAGGAACTCTTCTTGCTGGTAATGCGATCGGTAACGTGTTCGGTTCTATTCGGATGACTGCCTTTTGCAGTTTGATTTCACCTAATTTTTTTTTAAAAACTTGAGGGAATTTTGAAACAATCGTATTTAAAGAGGGAATATTCATATTTATTTTATTAATACGAACTTCTTCCGGTAGTTTTATATCAAATTCTCTAATGAAAGGCATCCCAAAAATAAGGGAATTCTCCCCTTTAACTACCCAAATAAGTAAAAATTTCGAAATATTTTTTACTTTGACTTCTACGGTACATTTACCTAGTACTTCGATTTGGATATGATTATATCCCACTAATTTATAAGCCGGTGATAGTTGTGGTCTGCCAATATGATTCCAGGTGACCTCATCAATCACACTACACGCGGCGCCGGTATCAAACTCCATAGCTAGCTGCAACCCATTTATCTTCGCATCGAGGTAGCTTTATTTGAAAATGACAGGCGAGGTGTCCGTGGCAGAATCATTTGTATGGCATGGGTTCTACAATCTTTCGCTATGTGATTTGCCTTACCGCAACGAAAGCATATCACTTTCTTTTGAATAGAGTTAGGTTTGATACTAGGTCTATAATTATTATTAGGAATATAATTGTTACTAAAGTGTTTATTATTATTGAATCTATTGACGTTAGTATAATTATTATTTCT